CAGGGTATCTCCTAGTCGAGCAGTCTCGACTAGAGCCTTCTTACTTGTTTTACTTTATTTCTACTATACTTTTAATTTTATGTAAACTGATTGTTATAGTTACTAATGTATTATCTTATGTATGTGTATATCTTTATGAGGCCAGCAACTACAGCAACACACACGCACGAATGCGTTGTCACTGCGTGATTGTTGTTGTTGCTGACCCCAAAAAAGAAAAACTGGTGAGCGAGCAAAACTCTTTTCTTTTTATTTTTATTTTTTTCAGTCGACTTATTGGCCTTGCCTCCATAGTTCGCTTAATTTGTTTGATTCTGCTTCCTAATTGTGTGGGCGTTACGCTGTGATTTTTCGAGCGTTACCTTCTTCTCATGTATTTTATTTATTGTGGGTATGACTGTTGCGAGCGAATCCATTGTTTGTTTATTAATCAGCGCCAGAAGTTACCGTTAGCCGTTGTGCGGCGTCAAAGTCAATTTGAGCGGACGCCTTTTAAGGCATTCACAGCTGAGTAGTCTGTGTTGTCTGTGCGTGTGAGTGTGAGTGCGAGTGCGAGGTTGACGCACTCGTCTGCCATGTATACGTATATATAGACACCTCAATGGAGGCCAGTCTAATGCTCCACTTGCCGCACCGCGCTGCCCGGTCGAAGCTTTATGCAAACTGTCCATGTAAACTCTGCTGCCTTGATTCATATTTTTAGCGCCTTCAAGCGCTGATCAGCTAATGGATGCCGAATCCGATTGCGATTGCGATTCCCATTCCGATCCAGATTCGGACTCGGATTCCGATCAGAATCAGAAATCAGATTCACTTTTTCTCTGTTTGAATTCTTCTCGCTCACATTTTGGGGCGCTTTGTGCTGCAATAGAGCGCAGCAGCTGGCAGTTGCTGAGCTATTAATAGTCGAGCATTGTGTGTTACGGAGACCATTAGACGCTCTCTGGCAGTCGCTGACAGAATAGTCTTTGCGCGTCGCCTTAGCAGCTAGGAACGAGGCATTGTTAGCTCTGGCGCTGGGCAATGTGTGAGCCATGAGCCGGCCTAGCTATCTGCAGGAGCAGCTGCTCTATCAACAGCAACAGCTACGCCAGCGTCCGGCTAATATTAACCGCCTACGTCAGCAGGCGCTACCCGTACACGGACGCAGCTACTCGCTAGAAGAGCACCAGACGGCTGCTGCTGCCCATTATGTACCCGTGTACTCCAAGTTCGTCTATCCAGCCCCACCGCTAGAGCACCTAGAGTTGCAGCGTCAGCTCGGCGGCCTCCATGATTCAGTCAACTCTTTGGGTAGCGACTTCACAGACTACGACAATGATGACTCCTACATTGTGGAACAGCGAATGGCACAAGACTCAGCTGCGCCCGTTCCAGGCTCCAACGTAGTGCAGAACCTGAATGCCTTGGGTCGCTTTCTCGAGCTTCTACAGCGCTGGCCACTGCCGCGTTTGTCTTTCAACACGGCCTGCATTTGCTCGCTCATCATTATATTTATAGCGCCGCGCACTTGTGCCCAGAGCTTACTATTTCCCACTTTCAGATTGTTCTTCGGCACTCTATATCCGGCCTATGCCTCCTACAAGGCGGTGCGCACAAAGAATGTTAAAGAATATGTGAGTATTACTATATATAAAAATAATATGTTACAAATTAATTATTTAGATATCTAATAAATTTTCATTTATGATATATTTACGCATATACCTAAATTCTCGCTCTCTATGAGGCAGATTCGCACATTTAATGTTTTATATATAGTCTCACATATCTTATATGATTATATATAGGTCAAATGGATGATGTACTGGATTGTCTTTGCATTTTTCACATGCATTGAGACCTTCACGGACATATTCCTATCGTGGTTCCCCTTCTACTATGAGGTCAAGGTGGTGATTGTCTTGTGGCTGCTGTCGCCAGCCACAAAGGGCAGTTCCACGTTGTATCGAAAATTCGTGCATCCCATGCTGACACGCCGTGAACAGGTGCGTTTCGATAAATATCAACATCGCCCGTTCTCCCCCTCTCTTTCTATTATTAATTATACTCTCTTTGTTTTAATTTGGCACAGGAAATCGACGAGTATTTGAATCAGGCTCGCGAGCGCGGCTATTCAGCGGTTTTACAGCTGGGATCAAAGGGTGTTAACTATGCCACGAATGTCATCATGCAGACTGCCATAAAGGTAACTCGAACAAATACAGCATCACACAAGTAATACATGCACACTGACACTCACACACACACATACACAAGCAATTCATCTGGCACATTTTTCAATTGCTTCTACAACAATTTGCCACCAGCGCCGTTGCATAAAATGAAAATGAAAATGAAAATGAAATGAAATGAAATGAAACAAAATGAGCAACAGACAACAATATTCGCCTGCTCAGTCGCCTCACTGGTTGAGAAACGCCACAGTTTCTATATAGAAAATGCTTGCGCAATGTTTTTCTCAGTTTTGCTCAGCGAGCCCCTTTCAGTGCTCATCTCTCTTCATCAATTGCAACAACAACAACAAATCTTCAGCAACTATTGAGCAGCTGCCGCGTGCCAGCGACGACATCGTCATCATCATCATTTGTTCATTGTTTTCATTAACTTTAAATATCATTTAAACAAACAAATAATACTATGTATGGTTGCCTCTGTGCCTTTTGTTTTTCTGTTTCGCTGTAGTTTTAAGTTTTTATTTCGACCTTTTAGAAATGGGTTAGCCAGATTGAAAGCCATCTAGAAATACAAATTTAAATAAAAATGCACAACATTTACATATATAAACTATACATATGTATATGTATTTAGATAGTATTAGTATATATCGATTATCCTAATGTAGCACAGAATTGGGTCTAAATCACAGAGTCGAGTAAATTGTTTCCCTAGGCTAATACCCAAGTATGTAAACAAAATTTCAGATTGTAATAAACTTTGCTTAGATGTTTTTGTTGTTGTCGTTGTTGTTGATGTTAATGTTGTTGTTTGTAGATGTTTATAAAATTACAATTATAAGGAACCTGATTCAGTTCATGTGGCTTCTCCAATACAAAGGCATTAATCATCAACTAGAACGTCATGAGAATGTCTTTATGGGCACACATAGGGAACACTTATTGCTATAGATACATACATATATATATATATATATATGGTGTGCTATATATGCATTTGTCTACATATAACAGAAATTCGCTTTGTCGAAAGGCATTTTGCGTGTTTCATTGGGTCAAGTAGTAATTAATTTCAAGTAGCCCACAATATATATGTATATAGTTATATATATGTATATAGTTTCAGCTTGTAAAATGCAGTCCGATATATGTATATAGCATATAGAAGAACCTTTGTATAGCACACTGCTTAGTCATCTGAAGATATGTTTTATTTGTGTAGCATATTGGGCACTCACTTCCATTTATTTTCTACTAAATACAATTCATTGCGATAATATGTAAATAGCTTTGAACAAAAGCTACTATAACTTATGTATATATGTATACATACATACATATATATATAACTCAATAACTCTATTCACAATTCAATATCTCTTATTTTATATTAATACCTTCCTAATTGAGTACATCATTGTGAATTTTGTGTTCAGAATTTATGTACGTAGATTTCTGTTGCATAAATATTTTTAGTTTAATAGTTAATATATATATATATATATATA